TCCCGGCGGCCGGGGACAAACTTTTCGATTTGCACCCCGCTCAAGATTTTGATTTGCACCCCCCTCAAACTTTCGATTTGCACCCCCCCCCCCCTTGAGATTTCCATTTGCACCCCCCCCCCCTCAAACTTTCGATTTGCACCCCCCTCAACCTTTCAATTTATTTTTCCAACCCATTTTGGCGCCCCCTAAGGTCGGCGCCCGGAGACATATGTCCCCCCCCCTTCGCTACGCTACTGTTTAGTAGTATAATAGATAGATATACCTTAGGCCACTTATAGCATTTTAGTAAGAGAATTAATACTTAATGTTATAGCGACCCAAAAATTGGACGAAACGTTTGGAACAGCTGTTCTACTTAACAGTCAACAAATGCCTCGTGGGATTTCTTTTCTCTGACTAGAAGTTCACCAGCATTTTACGCACCATGCGAATACACAGTTTGCTCAATGCTCACACCAAGTTGTGTGTGGTTTAGGTCGTACACAGCAAGTAGGGTGGGAAAAATGTATGTTTATGCACACGGTTTCTGTGTTGAGAGAAGGGGAAACAATGTATGTCAAAGTGTGTTGCATCAATACGAAAATAGATGTTATCTAGAATTGTTCATCAATACGAACATAGATGTTGTCTAGAATTGTTGCATCAATACGAAAATAGATGTTATCTAGAATTGTTCATCAATACGAACATAGATGTTGTCTAGAATTGTTGCATCAATAGGAAAATAGATGTTATCTAGAATTGTTCATCAATAGGAACATAGATGTTGTCTAGAATTGTTGCATCAATACGAAAATAGATGTTATCTAGAATTGTTCATCAATAGGAACATAGATGTTGTCTAGAATTGTTGCATCAATACGAAAATAGATGTTATCTAGAATTGTTCATCAATAGGAACATAGATGTTGTCTAGAATTGTTGCATCAATACGAAAATAGATGTTATCTAGAATTGTTCATCAATACGAACATAGATGTTGTATAGAATTGTTGCATCAATACGAAAATAGATGTTATCTAGAATTGTTCATCAATAGGAACATAGATGTTGTCTAGAATTGTTGCATCAATACGAAAATAGATGTTATCTAGAATTGTTCATCAATACGAACATAGATGTTGTCTAGAATTGTTGCATCAATACGAAAATAGATGTTATCTAGAATTGTTCATCAATACGAACATAGATGTTGTCTAGAATTGTTGCATCAATACGAAAATAGATGTTATCTAGAATTGTTCATCAATACGAACATAGATGTTGTCTAGAATTGTTGCATCAATACGAAAATAGATGTTATCTAGAATTGTTCATCAATACGAACATAGATGTTGTCTAGAATTGTTGCATCAATACGAAAATAGATGTTATCTAGAATTGTTCATCAATACGAACATAGATGTTGTCTAGAATTGTTGCATCAATACGAAAATAGATGTTATCTAGAATTGTTCATCAATACGAACATAGATGTTGTCTAGAATTGTTGCATCAATACGAAAATAGATGTTATCTAGAATTGTTCATCAATACGAACATAGATGTTAACTAGAATTGTTGCATCAATACCAACATAGATGTTGTCTAGAATTGTTGCATCAATACCAACATAGATGTTAACTAGAATTGTTCATCAATACCAACATAGATGTTATCTAGAATTGTTCATTAATACCAACATAGATGTTATCTAGAATTGTTCATCAATACCAACATAGATGTTAACTAGAATTGTTGCATCAATACCAACATAGATGTTATCTAGAATTGTTGCATCAATACCAACATAGATGTTGTCTAGAATAGTTTCATCAATACCAACATAGATGTTAACTAGAATTGCTCCAGTGCATACACATATGAAAGCTGTGAAGTATAAGATTGATTGAAAGCGAATACCAATGAGTACAATAACATTTGTTGTACAATCGTATAGAAGCCCTAGAACTATAATAACTATATGAATTTGTAACTTTAAAGGCTTGTTATGAAAACATAATTAACCGTCGCTAAAGATTACTGTTTATTTAGTAAAAAAAAATATTAGGTAATTTTAAATATAGAAACTCTGGTTCTATTTTAAAATATTGATGTCCTCTACCCCGCCCGATCCAACCACATGCTACTTTACTAGAAGTATCCTAATATATAAATGACCACCTGCGCACTTCTCTCTATGTCCGCAACATTTTTAAGACTATATGATCAGTATGTTCAGCGATATATGGAGAACTTAAAGATACAGACTTTTGTTGAAAATAATATGCTGGATGTAATAAATGTATGAACTAATTTTATTTAAAGAAGAAAAATAAAGGCATATTCGAATGGATATACACATTTTAATTATACAACCTGAAAAGTGTTTATTGTCGTTACGAGAACGAAAAAAAATAAACCGGGAGTGATCTCCCCTATACGTTCTCGAATATTCTTATATAAAAAACAGGGGATGGGAATTCGGGATATAGGCATGAATTTTAATCCATTTTAAATACTTAAACTTTTTAAAATAGAATGAAATCTCGTAGAAAAAGAATTGCACACCACTGAACGCCAAATAAACTGTGCATAATAGTGCGGAATATTATTAGTACTTTATAAATTTACATTAGTTTTTGAGAAATCGGAAATAACGTAAATTAGTACTTCCAGTCAACGGAAATTACTTAAAAATTTAACAGAAGGTAGGAAATTAGATCTTTTACTTACGTGTGAAATTTCATTTATCTATCTGAAATAGTACTCACGTTATAGGCTTTAGAAAAATTCAAAGTAAAAAAGTACCACTTCCGTTTATCGGTAATCGCTCAAAAGTTGATACGGATCTACGATTTTGATAAAATACTTATATATGAAATTTCATCAACCTAGCTGTAACGGTACTCAAGTTATCGTGTTTACACACACACACACACACACACACACACACATACACACAGACATACGGACAAGATTATGTTTTTCCGTATCAGTATGGTATAAAACATCGAGATTTGAAAAACTCTCGATTTTTTTTTTGCAGGATTACAAGACTTTCTCTATACTTCGTATATACGAGAAAGTAAAAATGACGTCACATGTTTATACTACGGAAAGTTCACAAAACTATTGGCGTCATTTTCCAGTTTTAGAATATGAAGAAATGAACTTTGAACTATATCATGCAAATTTGATTTAGATCTATAGATCTACTTATCAAGACGTGTACTATGAAATGTATACAATTTCTCGGCCAAAAGTAATACAATTTACTTTAAAAAAACAACATAAATACCATTGAACAGCCGTGTTTTTAACTAAATCATTTAAGTCTCTTAATCAGTGTGTGCATTTAATATGGTGTTGTGTTGACTAATAATGTAATTATTTGTTTTTTCTAATAGGTTGCGTATGTTATTTTAAATGTGTTGGATTTTAGTTATTTAGTTATTTCTTTGATTAGTCAGTAATATCGTTTAACGTGTAGTAAAGCACATTGCCTTTTGACCTATAACTATTTTATAACATATTTTTCCCAAACAAGTATAACATTGAAATATATAGGCATATAATGCACGTGTAACGGTTACCGACGGGTAGCGGCCATATAAGAGTCGTTAAAATCTGTATTGTCACTACTGCATAATCGTTGTGTCTTCGTTGTTACTCGCAGCCCTAAATGTCCCAAAATCCAGTCAGGTACCTGTCAGAGCTGAGCAAACTCACTATGCACTAGAGCCATAGTATTGTAATCGCTAGCCCTACTGTATATCCTCTGAAATTCTAAACAGTGTATCGTTTTAGAACGTGCATTTATTGTTTGTGTGTAGGCAAGCGTAGTTGTGAGGAAAGAACTTGTTTTAACACAGCTCATGACAGGCTAACCACTAAAAAACAACTGTCACATACAGGTATCGATTGTATCGATTGATTCTGTGCGTGTAATCAATCATCTTGTATGGTTGCTGTCAAAGTTTGAATCACTACTACAAGTTATATCAATCCCTTACCGCCATCATCTCACTTGTCAAGATCTCCTCCCATTCCGGCTGCTTTAAGTCTTGGTATAACCACGATCTTATTTTAAAGTTGTATTTGTCTCCAACATGCAAGTAAACACGCAAAAGTTCCAACAGGTATTCGATATCTCCGTTCTTGTATGTCTTAGCATGTGAAGAGTTTGGTCATTAGCCGACCACACAACACCCATATACTTTTTGATGTCCAATAAGTTCTTTATAATAATTATATTTTATTTATTTAAAATTTAAAAAAAAACCAACCATTTTTGACTTTTAAGTTTTTGTATGAAAGCCAAAATTTTGAAACTACTCAACCCCTTTTGAAATAAGACTGAAAACATTGTACACATGGGGTGCACTGCACGGGTAATAACGCAGCTAGTGTTAGCACAATAGAGAGTGTAGGATAGTATTATATATTGGAGCTTGTAAAATCCTGTGGATTGTCGCTGGAAATAGGATCTATTCAACTGGGAAACTGGGAGTTATATTTCATGTTAAAGTACATTAAATCACGGTATTTGTATACAGTTGGTAATTCTCACGGTATCTGTTTACAGTTGGTAATTCTCGCGTATCTAAATACAGTTGGTAATTCTCACGGTATGTGTATACAGTTGGTAATTCTCACGGTATCTTTACACAGTTGGTAATTCTGGGGTAAGAGTGCCATTTATGAAAACAGAAACAGCAGTCACACAACGAAAACACAACACACAAAACAGCAACATCGCACAGTTTGACACCTTGCGATACAACCACTTACAACACTACCAAAGTATACCTCAAAAATATCACAACTCATCCTTAACTCTGAACCTCACACCAACTTTACGTCACAGCACATCCTCAACACACCAACACCGTACGCACCATGGGAATGTACATCCTTCACTCTATGTTAGCGCAGTGCACACACCAGCACAGTACGCACCATGGGAGTGCACGCCATTCACAGAATGCTTGTTCTAAGTGTCCATGACTAACACCAAATGGTACAGAGCCTAGGCCGCAGTCAGAGATTCTAACAGACAGTTCTATTTCATTCGCTGATTTTTGCAGTCTTTATTTGGCTATGTAAGTGTGAATAAATAATATATCTTGACGTGTAATATTAGAATGTACATGATGGTCATTATATAAAAAATAAACCATCTAGATCTACACTGTCTGATGTTGTTGTGTTCTAACTTTAACAGTAAAGTTAGTTAACTAAAAAAGGCAAGGTTAGTTTGCGAAGACTAAAGACACATCTACCTGCATGTATAGATAATGGTGATGGTGTGAAGCTACTTAACAAGTAGACAAGATGTCCTACTCAACAAGTAGACAAAATGTCCTACTCAACAGGTAGACAAAATGTCCTACTCAACAGGTAGACAAAATGTCCTACTCAACTGGTAGACAAAAAGTCCTACTCAACAGGTAGACAAAATGTCCTACTCAACAGGTAGACAAAATGTCCTCCTCAACAGGTAGACAAAATGTCCTCCTCAACTGGTAGACAAAATGTCCTAGGTAGACAAAATGTCCTACTCAACAGGTACACAAAATGTCCTACTCAACTGGTAGACAAAATGTCCTAGGTAGACAAAATGTCCTACTCAACTGGTAGACAAAATGTCCTAGGTAGACAAAATGTCCTACTCAACAGGTAGACAAAATGTCCTACTCAACTGGTAGACAAAAAGTCCTAGGTAGACAAAATGTCCTACTGAACAGGTAGACAAAATGTCCTACTCAACTGGTAGACAAAATGTCCTAGGTAGACAAAATGTCCTACTCAACAAGTAGACAAAAAGTCCTACTCAACAGGTAGACAAAATGTCCTAGGTAGACAAAATGTCCTACTGAACAGGTAGACAAAATGTCCTACTCAACTGGTAGACAAAATGTCCTAGGTAGACAAAATGTCCTACTCAACAGGTAGACAAAATGTCCTACTCAACAGGTAGACAAAATGTCCTACTCAACAGGTAGACAAAATGCCCTACTCAACAAGTAGACAAAATGTCCTCCTCAACTGGTAGACAAAATGTCCTACTCAACAGGTAGACAAATTGTCCTACTCAACTGGTAGACAAAATGTCCTAGGTAGACAAAATGTCCTACTGAACAGGTAGACAAAATGTCCTATTCAACAAGTAGACAAAATGTCCTAGGTAGACAAAATGTCCTACTCAACAGGTAGACAAAATGTCCTATTCAACAAGTAGACAAAATGTCCTACTCAACAAGTAGACAAAATGTCCTACTCAACAGGTAGACAAAATGTCCTACTCAACAGGTAGACAAAATGTCCTACTCAACAAATAGACAAAATGTCCTACTCAACAGGTAGACAAAATGTCCTACTCAACATGTAGACAAAATGTCCTACTCAACAGGTAGACAAAATGTCCTACTCAACAGGTAGACAAAATGTCCTAGGTAGACAAAATGTCCTACTCAACAAGTAGACAAAATGTCCTACTCAACAGGTAGACAAAATGTCCTAGGTAGACAAAATGTCCTACTCAACAAGTAGACAAAATGTCCTAGGTAGACAAAATGTCCTAGGTAGACAAAATGTCCTACTCAACAGGAAGACAAAATGTCCTACTCAACAGGTAGACAAAATGTCCTACTCAACAAATAGACAAAATGTCCTACTCAACAGGTAGACAAAATGTCCTACTCAACATGTAGACAAAATGTCCTACTCAACAGGTAGACAAAATGTCCTACTCAACAGGTAGACAAAATGTCCTAGGTAGACAAAATGTCCTACTCAACAAGTAGACAAAATGTCCTACTCAACAGGTAGACAAAATGTCCTAGGTAGACAAAATGTCCTACTCAACAAGTAGACAAAATGTCCTAGGTAGACAAAATGTCCTAGGTAGACAAAATGTCCTACTCAACAGGAAGACAAAATGTCCTACTCAACAGGTAGACAAAATGTCCTACTCAACAGGTAGACAAAATGTCCTACTCAACAGGTAGACAAAATGTCCTAGGTAGAAAAAAATGTCCTACTCAATGTCATGTCATACACGTTTGTACACAGGTCCGTGATAGAGGTCATCGTGTTCAAGGTCGTTCCGCTTTTAATGCTCTGTGTGCCCTTGACCTTCAGCGAGCGAATGACCCTGTCGTCTGCTGACATCCAGTCCATCATGCGCAGACACAACCAAATACGTCAGGGGGCCAATGTGACTAAAATGGTGAGTCGGGGGGGGGGGGGGGCAATGTGACTAAAATGGTGAGTCAGGGGGGGGGCAATGTGACTAAAATGGTGAGTCAGGGGGCCAATGTGACTAAAATGGTGAGTCAGGGGGGGGGGCAATGTGACTAAAATGGTGAGTCAGGGGGCCAATGTGACTAAAATGGTGAGTCAGGGGGGGGGGGGCAATGTGACTAAAATGGTGAGTCAAGGGGGGGGGGGGCAATGTGACTAAAATGGTGAGTCAGGGGGCCAATGTGACTAAAATGGTGAGTCAGGGGGGGGGAAATGTGACTAAAATGGTGAGTCGGGGTGGGGGGCAATGTGACTAAAATGCTGAGTCGGGGGGGGGCAATGTGACTAATATGGTGAGTCAGGGGCCAATGTGACTAAAATGGTGAGTCAGGGGACCAATGTGACTAAAATGTTAGTCGTTAAACACCCCTCACAGAAGTACATTTGAGGAAGATTTTAAATTTGAAGTGAGCTAAGCAGACACTACCTAAGCTGTTTATCAATCTAAGCATCTAAAGTGTTTGTGTTATCGCCTCACCAGAATTCATTTATTCTGCAATTATGTAAATCAATCTGTTTCGCTAAGCTCTAAGTCATCGTGTCCTGCTAATTGCTCATTTCTATGTCCTGCTAAGCTCTATGTCCTGCTAAGCTCTATGTCCTGCTAAGCTCTATGTCCTGCTAAGCTCTATGTCCTGCTAAGCTCTATGTCCTGCTAAGCTCTATGTCCTGCTAAGCTCTATGTCCTGCTAAGCTCTATGACCTGCTAAGCTCTATGTCCTGCTAAGCTCTATGTCCTGCTAAGCTCTATGTCCTGCTAAGCTCTATGTCCTGCTAAGCTCTATGTCCTGCTAAGCTCTATGACCTGCTAAGCTCTATGTCCTGCTAAGCTCTATGTCCTGCTAAGCTCTATGTCCTGCTAAGCTCTATGTCCTGCTAAGCTCTATGTCCTGCTAAGCTCTATGTCCTGCTAAGCTCTATGTCCTGCTAAGCTCTATGTCCTGCTAAGCTCTATGTCCTGCTAACATACTCTGTCTGTTCAGGCTTGGGTCCATTCTACGGCCAACCTGGCGGCCGCCTGGGGGGAGGGCTGTACGTGGTCAGCCATGCATGACAGACACGCCTTCATCTCCTACAGTAAGTATCTGATAAATAGCATTACATTGTCACTCGACACGACTTTACATCCTATAGTAAGTATCTGATAAATAGCATTACATTGTCATTTGACACGACTTTACATCCTACAATAAGTATATGATAAATGTCAGTATATTGACATTTGACACGACTTTACATCCTACAATAAGTATATGATAAATGTCAGTATATTGACATTAGACACGACTTTATATCATACAGTATCTGATAAATGTCAGTCATTGATATTAGACACGATTTGACATCCCATTTAGGGCATAAAAGTTATAATTAGAAATTATCAGTTTTAGCATGTGAGATTCTAATGAGGCTTAAAGCTATCACTATCACGGAATGTTTGTGTTGGCTTACATCGATTAAAGCTACCACAGCATGTTTATTTTGGCTTACATCGATTAATCGTGTTTGTCTTTTGGTCAGCGAAGAAAACGGACCAGGTATTTAGGTTCGCATTCGCAAGATGGGGGGACGATTCAAGTGAAGAATACAGGCGGGTAAGTACAGGGGTTATGGGTTACTGAAGGGTGGGTGAGTGGGTCATAGATTACTGAAGGGTGAGGTCAGGGGTTATGGGTTACTGATGGGTAGCTATATGGGTTATGGGTTACTGACAGGTGGGTGGATGGGTCATGGAGTACTGAAGGGTGATTACACTACAAACACAAAAGTCTGAAGTTCGGACCTCGGGTTCGTCTGTAGGACGCTCCTGAGTTCACCCAGTTTTAATGAGTACCTGACTCACTTTATGGAATCAAAAGCGGCTGGGCATAGAGTTGACCCCTCTATCCCCTTTCCTGTCGAGATCATTGAAACAGATGAACTCTACTTCATCTGCCCCATCTGTCTTGGGCGCGAACGGGAAAAGATGATAATGATGAAGTACACGGGTCGCATATTAATGAAGGGTGTATGAGTGGGGTGTAGATTACTGAAGGGTGTATGAGTGGGGTGTATATTACTGAAGGGTGGATGAGTGGGGTGTATATTACTGAAGGGTAAATACAGGGGGTTGCACATTAATGAATGACTTGGAAGCCTCATAAATTAGTTTTAAAGATATTATTTAGTGCAAGATAACACTGGATATAGGATATCCCTTGGCCCACCTAGCTGTTAAATAAAATATCCCTGGACCCACCTAGCTGTTAAATAAAATATCCCTTGGCCCACCTAGCTGTTAAATAAAATATCCCTGGACCCACCTAGCTGTTAAATAAAATATCCCTGGACCCACCTAGCTGTTAAATAAAATATCCCTGGACCCACCTAGCTGTTAAATAAAATATCCCTGGACCCACCTAGCTGTTAAATAAAATATCCTTGCGCCCACCAGGATATGAAGTAGGATATCCCTGTGCCAGAAAACCTTACTACATTATACATAGATTGGCGAGGTATATCTTCCAGAGAAACCTGAATACTGTAACGCTGAAATCTATAGTCATCCATTATGGTGAACTATTTTAGTTCAAGAACAGAGTTTCTTCCAGGCATCTCTTCGGGGGGGCGAAGCCCCCCCGAAAAATTTTTACCGCCCCCCCGAACGAAATGAAATTTATATGATTTATATAGAAAATATATACTTTTAACAGTGTCCGCCCCCCCGAAGAAAGTTTACCGCCCCCCCGAAGATTTCAAGTGCCCCCCCCGGAGAAAAAAGTCTGGAAGAAACACTGTTCAAGAAGATTAACTGTGTTCTTCTTCATGTATATGACAAGATTCATTCATTCGTAAATGAACTCTAATGTTTAATTAAAACAAAGATGACAAAAAATAAGTTAACCGTATCCTCTGTCGACATTGTAGCCATATTTCAAACCTATTTCCCAACTTTTTTACCAGATTATCGAACCTAGCAACATCTACGTTGGTTGTGCCTTCATTAGCTGTGATGTTGACAAAGCTAATTTTGTTTGCATTTATAGGTAGGTCATATGGTATAAAGCTACGTATTTATAGGTGGTCATATAATTTATTTCTTTGAATCTATATGGTATAATTATATGTATTTTAGGTGGGTCCTGAGTTTTACTTGTATGTATTTATAGATGTAGAGCATTTATAGGTATGTCGTTTTACGTTTATGTATGTATAGCAAGATAGTGTACTTTAGCTAAAATAACGACAGCAGTAAAGCAGTGGCAGCTAAAATAGCTGGAGCTAAGATAGTGTCAGCTACGGGGGACTGGAAGCCATAGGCAGCTACAATCGCCGCAGCTATTATAGCTGTATTATGTTGGCGACAATAATAGGGACGACTAGAATAACGGTAGTTAAATCAAGATTCGATTGCAAAGAAATGGAGTAAATCGCCCTCCACACCTTACCTTACCACCCACGGACCCCTTAAATGGAAGCTGTAACACATTTATTTTGACGATAGCTAGCTTTTGTTGTTTAATTACACAATGTCAAAATATCTTCTGTAATTAATGTAATTAGTGAGATTAAACTGATGACCAGACAATCACGTTAAAATTTTAGGACTGGTCCCAGCTTCCCACCACTGACCTAATGATGCATGCTGGGATATGCACGTGAAACCTGCTCCAGTCATCTCAGGAGAGATAGAGAGAGGCTAGGAGAGATAGAGAGACTAGGAGAGATAGAGAGGCTAGGAGAGATAGAGAGACTAGGGGAGATAGAGAGGCTAAGAGAGATAGAGAGAGGCTAGGAGAGATAGAGAGGCTAAGAGAGATAGTGAGGCTAGGAGAGAGTAGTAGAGATATACTAGGAGAGATAGAGATGCTTAGAGAGATAGAGAGAGGCTAGGAGAGATAGAGAGGCTAGGAGAGATAGAGAGGCTAAGAGAGATAGAGAGAGGCTAGGAGAGATAGAGAGGCTAAGAGAGATAGAGAGAGGCTAGGAGAGATAGAGAGGCTAAGAGAGATAGTGAGGCTAGGAGAGAGTAGTAGAGATATACTAGGAGAGATAGAGGTGCTTAGAGAGATAGAGAGAGGCTAGGAGATAGAGGGGCTAGGAGAGATAGAGAGGCTAAGAGAGATAGAGAGAGGCTAGGAGAGATAGAGAGGCTAAGAGAGATAGAGAGAGGCTAGGAGAGATAGAGAGGCTAAGAGAGATAGTGAGGCTAGGAGAGAGTAGTAGAGATATACTAGGAGAGATAGAGATGCTTAGAGAGATAGAGAGAGGCTAGGAGATAGAGGGGCTAGGAGAGATAGAGAGGCTAAGAGAGATAGAGAGAGGCTAGGAGAGATAGAGAGGCTAAGAGAGATAGAGAGAGGCTATGAGATAGAGAGAGGCTAGGAGAGATAGAGAGGCTAAGAGAGATAGAGAGACTAGGAGTGATAGCGGCTAGGAGAGATAGAGAGACTGGGAGAGATAGAGAGGCTAGAAGAGATAGACTAGGATAGAGTAGGAGAGATATACTAGGAGAGATAGAGAGGCTTAGAGAGATAGAGAGAGACTAGGAGAGATAGAGAGATTAGGACAGAGAAACTATGAGAGATAGAGAGATAAGAAGATAGAGAGACTAGGAGAGATAGAGACTAGGAGAGACAGAGAGGCTAGGAGAGATATGGAGTAGGACAGATAGATTAAAAGAGATACAGAGACTAAGAGAGTGAGATAGGGAGAGAGTGAGAGTGAGAGAGAGACCAAGAGAGTGAGAGAGAGAGACTACTAGCGCTGAACTGTTTGGGCCTGTTCACTATTTCACAATAAAAGAATATTTTCACACACCTAACCCCATCACATATGACGTTATGTATCCCCTAGTCAAAGGGCGACCCCTAAACTACGAACCCAAAATATTACATAATATGCAACAACACGTAAACTACCACCCCACAAATTACATAACATATAGCCTTACTCACACTACGACCCCCTACCACATATTACATAACATGCAGCATTATGACCCTCCATATTATATGACACAGTGCTTTACATACTCCACGACCTAAGCATATTATACCACAAGTTAATGAGCTACTATTCTTGATTAATGTAATAAAGGTTAGAACAAATTACTTAAAGCTTTACTTCATTTATTTACATTTTAAAATTTGCGTTTAAATTAATTCCAAAACAATTTGGAATCGTGAACTTTAGCTAAAGACCTGCCACACTGGCAAAAACAAAATATACGAATGTAGATCTAGTTACTGTCTTAAAACTACGAACCACACAAACAAAAGACACGGATGTAGATCTAGTTACTGTCTTAAAACTACGAACCACACAAACAAAAGACACGAATGTAGATCTAGTTACTGTCTTAAAACTACGAACCACACAAACAAAAGACACGAATGTAGATCTAGTTACTGTCTTAAAACTACGAACCACACAAACAAAAGACACGAATGTAGTTACACTACGAACCACACAAACAAAAGACACGAATGTAGATCTAGTTACTGTCTTAAAACTACGAACCACACAAACAAACGACACGAATGTAGATCTAGTTACTGTCTTAAAACTACGAACCACACAAACAAACGACACGAATGTAGATCTAGTTACTGTCTTAAAACTACGAACCACACAAACAAACGACACGAATGTAGATCTAGTTACTGTCTTAAAACTACGAACCACACAAACTAAAGACACGAATGTAGATCTAATTACTGTCTTAAAACTACGAACCACACAAACAGATGTTTCTTTCTGCAGATTGTTATATTACCTTGACCCAGTTTCACCTGCATTGCAAAAAGCGCGTGACGAGGTCGGGGTGACGAAAGATTTCACACCTACCTGTGACACCCCCGGCGTCACGAGCCGTCAGTCGCGGTGATGTCCCCTTGTAGCTTTCCATATCCGTTACCTACATCTGTTTTAGGGGGGGGGTGTGGCCTGTCACTGATACCTGTTTAACTGTAGGGGTGGGGTTTGTAACTTGTTTACATTACTAAACCAAATATTGTATGATAGGATGTTTATGATGAAGGCTAACCAAGTTTAGTCTATTAAACTCCAAATATATTTTTCAAGCCTGATTAGTCTGTAATTTGTTTAAGATAAACTTAAGTCAAATCGCGACGAATTTAAAATAAAATAAATCGGGAGTGATCTCCCCTAAACTGTCTCGAATATTCTTATATAACACCACGGGTGGGGGGGGGGGGGGGGGGCAACTAGGGAGATAGACTTTATTTTTAATCCATTTATAATTACTTTGACTTTTTAAAATAGAATAGAATTTCGTAGAAAAAAATAATTGCACACCAAGTGAACGCCAAACAATATGTGTATAATAGTGCGGAATATTATTAGTCTAATATATAAAGTTTAATTCTGTATGCGGCCGCGTAGAGCGGATAGCGGACCCGTGATTACAAAGAAATAGAGAAAAAAAAAGACTTGATCGCCATAGTGTGATAAATCTAAACATACTGTTTACTAAATATTAAATGTAATCAATTACAGTTTACAAGCCGCAACTTAATGTTTACTTCTATCTTTCCGTTTGCGGATAAGCTTGGGGTATTATAGTGGTTCATTAAATCGAATTAGACGCGTCCGCCGGCGCCCCGGCAGGGTTCGATTTGGCGCCCTGGGCTATCATTTTAGCGCTATAGTGCATAATCTAGTTTTTAACAGTGCGATATATTATGGATAAGATAGGTTACTATAGTCTTTAACTACATCGAATTCGGGCGTCATCCGGCGCCCCGGCTTAGGTTCGTTTAAGTGAGTGCAAAATAATATGAATAAGTTAGGGTACTATAGTCGTTCACCAAGCTAAAATTTGCCGGCGCCCCAGCATGGTGCAATTTGGCGACCCGGGCTAGACTGTGAGCACTTTGCGTTTATGTGTGCGTTTGTGGTTGGGTTTGTGTTTGCGTTTTTGTTTGTGTTTGTATTGGTGTTTGCGTTTGTGTTATGTTTGCGGTTTTGTTTTTTTTGTGCTTTGGTTTTGGTTGGTTGTGATTAGGGTGGGCAATGCCGGATATATGCTGATTACTAAACATGTTTCAAGTTTGTACCACTTCATGTTTCTTGCGTTGAGTCTGATTTGTGTTCAAACGTACAACCAATGTTTGTTTGGTATATGACTCCCACAACAGCTGATATATGACTCCCACAACAGCCGCTATATGACTGCCACAACAGCCGCTATATGACTCCCACAACAGCCGCTATATGACTCCCACAACAGCCACTATATGACTCCCACAACAGCCGCTTTAGTCCTAGTCCTAGTTGAGTGCTCCAATTCATGTCAATTTTGTTTCTTGTATGCCCCGTGAATTCATACAATGTGTGCTAGTTGCTGTTTAACCCTTTGTAACCTGAGTCGTTTTGTTTATGAATGGGTTATGAATGGGTTAATCGCAAGGTCAAGGAACGGTCATACGTCGAATCACTTGAACGATTTGTGCGGATTGGCTAATGCAACATTCCTGGTAGCTTAGGGTTTACCTTGTGGGGATAGACAAATTCCTAATGAGTATGGTCAAGAGTCCACGGTAGCAAATACGACCGTGGTAGCCACACAAGCAGGCTAGCCGCACACAAGCATGTACCGTTTGTACGTCCACTTGTTACCGAGACCGTACATGACCGGCCTGCCGGAGATCCGGCTTAGGATCAGGGTCACGTGGGATACCTGTCTGCCGGCTTCCGGCTGACGCCTCTAGGAGACAGGGGGACAGAACCCCCTTTGCCGGCGCTGGTTTGTATTTAACCTGAGGTCAAGAAGATTGGCTGGAGATAATCTTAAGTCTGCACGTGCCGCGACCTGCTACAGTATCGGCTGCTGATGGAGGGGCGCGCTCATTGAAGTAGAGTGTATATAAGTCAGACGGGAGCTTTTTTGTACGAGTGACTTGTGTTCTGTTGTCGCTGGTACATAGCTAACATGGCCAGCGTATTTCTCTTGGTTTTAGCGGCGAATATCGGTGAGTACAGAATCATTACCAGACTGAACAATATGATTTCGCTTACATGCTACTTCATGTAATTATGTAATCACGTGTATGAACATTCAACTCATTGTGATAACATCTTGATGTATGGGAATCTCCTTTGAGTTGTTTCAAAGTTTTACACGGATATTTCGGTTGTATCAATATTGAATAATCTATCATATGTAGCCTATGTGTTATGTTCATTCAAAAGCTGCCAACAGATATAAGTTGTAAAAAAAAGTTTCAATAGTTTTTCTAAATCGTGTGGCCAATAAGCAGATGAAGTAGAGTACATCTATTTCTGTGGCCTCGGTACGTGAATAGATAATGTTGTCAGATTTATGCCCAGCCGCCTTTACTTCCTCTGGTGTGAGTCAGGTACCAAATAGAGCTGGGTGGACTCAGGAAATCCGAATTCGAGACATTCCGGGTGAACATTCGATCTCTCTACTGTCTTCAACGTCATCTCATTAAATACCGGTAATACAAGAAAAGAATACATCAAATCATTTAGAATTTGTTTCAAGAAAACTAATATGCGTCTTTTTAAAAATAATTTATTTCTCAAACTCTAACAATGTTTCTTCCAAACTTTTTTCTCCGGTGGGGCTCTAGAAATTTTCGGGTGGGTGGGGACGGACTAAAATTTCCGGTGGGGGGGTGGGGGGGGGGTGGGGGTGGGAGACATTGTTCAAAGTATATAATTTCGATATAAATTCCATTTCGTTTGGGGGGACGGTAGACTTCCTTTGGGGGTAAGGGGGGGGGGGTACTCTGCCTGGAAAAAACTCTGAATTCTAATAACACCTCATTAAAAAAGAAATTCACATTAGTAAACGCTTAAAACAAAATTAGTTTTGATTGCACTAAATCTGTTAGACCTGATGGCAACGTGTATTTATTTTCAAAATTATTTTCAGTGTTAATTTGTGCGCATGGCGAGACCGATTCATCTTTTGGTGCTAGCAAACCTTCCTCAGCTTCAGAGAGTTCTTCCGGTAAACAGACCGGAAGTTTAGAGTCACAAAATGGCGGCGCCAGCGGAAGCTTTGGTCAACAAAGCGAGGGCCAGTTTGAGCTGGTCGATTCGTCCGCCGTGGACAGTGGCGGGCAGTCGGGGAGGAAGGACGGGAGCATCGATAACTACAGCGCCGACGACGGTCGGGGCAACCAGTTCACGGGCTACGGCAGCTCTGGGTCGGATAGAACTGGGAGTCCAAAGTCTGGCAACAGACGGAAGCAGTTTAGGCAAGATTTCGGCGGGAGAGATTCATTGAGGTCTGGGGGCGGAGACGAAGGGTCTGTTGGTCGGGGAGGGGGCTGGGCTCGGCACAAACAACTTGAGACAGGAGGGAGGTTCAGTAACGGAAGCCCGGGGAGGGGTAGCCTGGGGGTGGAGCCAGACAGCCCGGGGAGGGGCAGTCTGGGGGTGGAGCCAGACAGCAGGTTCCTTCACAAAACCGTCGGAGGCAGGAATCAAGGCGACTTCTCCAGGGGAAGGAACTACGGCTCTCCCAGCAGTAATTACGAAAGTAAAGGCGACACCGGAAGTGTTAATATCCAATATGGCGGACAGGACGTGATATCTCAGAACCAGGGTAGCGGAAATGCAAACTCTGGTGGGTTTTGGGGGAAAGATAACTCTGGTGCAGACGGCTCAGCTTACAGCAGCTCTAACGACTGGAACCAAAACAGTCCAGGACAGATTGGAACTGAAGACGGCAACATCTACAACAACGGTTACTACAGCAGCTACACCCCCGAGCAGGCGGATAACGGTTACAGCTCATTCTCCACTTCTGATGAGAACAGGGGCAGCAACTCGCAGAGTAGCGAGTTCGAAAACCGTGTGGACGGAGGGGATTGGTCCAGCACTGGTGGGGACGATGGTCTCTGTTCATCAGGAGTAAGTACTGTAAGATTGTCTTAGTGCGGGTGATGTAATTACTGTAAGACTGTCTAAGTGCGGGGTGATGTAAGTACTGTAAGACTGTCTTAGTTCGGGGTGATGTTAATACTGTAAGACTGTCTTAGTGCGGGTGATGTAATTACTGTAAGACTGTCTTAGTTCGGGGTGATGTTAATACTGTAAGACTGTCTTAGTTCGGGGTGATGTTAATACTGTAAGACTGTCTTAGTGCGGGTGATGTAATTACTGTAAGACTGTCTTAGTGCGGGTGATGTAATTACTGTAAGACTGTCTTAGTACGGATGATGTAAGTACTGTAAGACTGTCTAAGTGCGGGTGATGTAATTACTGTAAGAATGTTTAGTGCGGGTAATGTAATTACTGTAAGAATGTTTTAGTGCGGGTAAAGTAAGTACTGTAAGACTGTCTTAGTGGGGGGGTGATGTAATTACTGTAAGAATGTTTTAGTGCGGGTGATGTAATTACTGTAAGAATGTTTTAGTGCGGGTAATGTAAGTACTGTAAGAATGTCTTAGTTCGGGTGATGTAAGTACTGTAAGACTGTCTTAGTGGGGGGTGATGTAATTACTGTAAGAATGTTTTAGTGCGGGTGAATGTAATTACTGTAAGACTGTCTTAGTGGGGGGTGATGTAATTACCGTAAGACTGTCTTAGTGGGGGTAATGTAATTACTGTAAGACTGTCTTAGTAGGGAGTGATGTAATTGCTGTAAGAATGTTTTAGTGGGGGTGATGTAATTACTGTAGGACTTTTTTAGTGCGGGTGATGTAATTACCATAAGACTGTCTTAGTAGGGTGCCATAAATACTTTAAGAATATTGGAGTCAGGGTGGTGTAAGTATTGTAACACTATTTTAGGATCGGATGGTGTGAAATGTGTGAGTGTTTCTTTGGTGTGATTACTGTAGATATCTTTTACCGTGAGTGTTGTCGGTGGTGTAAAAGTATTTTAGAGTGGATGAAAACATGATTTCGGGGCGCGATACACTAAAATATAACTACAACCATAAATCTATAATACTTTGTTAATTTATATTACCTTTAGGAAATGATATTAATATTATTTAGTCAATCCCAACTGTTTGCAAAAGGTATTGCGATATGAAATAGAAGCGTATCCTCATGTTTACTTTTTGTGTTAGATATTAGTCGAAACTTCACTAACCTACATGCACATGTTTTATGTGAGCTCCACTAACCTACATGCACGTGTTGTGTGTGAGCGCCACTAACCTACATGCACGTGTTGTGTGTGAGCGCCACTAACCTACATGCACATGTTTTGTGTGAGCAGGGCGAGTTCTTCCCCCACCCCACGTCATGCAACCAGTTCTACCAGTGTGCCCACAACAAGGCCATCTTGACCCACTGCCCCACGGGTCTGTTCTACAACCCCCTCCACAGGATATGTGACTGGCCCTCCAACGTCGACTGTCAGTCAGACAATGAACCTGCTCTTTCGGTAAGTTTTTTTTTAGGCGGCTTTCACCCATTAAAGTTTTAAACTTCGTCACTCAAATATTGTTTTTGTTTCTTCTTAAAAGTAAAATTGTGTAAAATAGAAGATTAAAGGAAAAATTTAAAAAATAAAACCTATCTAGGAATGGATTATTAACCTGCATTAACTTGCAATAACCTACAGTAACCTGCAGTAACCTGCAGTAACCTGCAGTAACCTGTTCACTTGACTCCAATCTCAGTACACAAACGAGTTGCCCGCCATCTCCAGACAACCACGTGACAAGATCTCACAATCCGCTTCCGGTCAGATGTTAGCTGAGCTCAAGTCCAAAAGTAGCAGCTCCAAATCTAAAAGCTCCAGCAAAAGTTCCAGCAAGAGTTCCGGCAAAAGTTCCGGCAGTTCCGGCAGCTCGAGCCGGAGGCCCAGCTACTCGGACTACAACTACGACAGCAGCGAGGAGGACGACAAGAACAGCTACATCGACGACAGCAACGACTACAGCATCAGCCGCAGTTCTAGGGACGTCGATGATTGGTCGTACAGCGCGCCTGCGCAGAGAAGCCAGCCGGTGGTTTGTGGCCAGGGGGTAAGTGGGTCATTGGTCAGTGGGTAAGTGGGTCATTGGTCAGTGGGTAAGTGGGTCATTGGTCAGTGGGTAAGTGGGTCATTGGTCAGTGGGTAAGTGTATCATTGGTCAGTGGGTAAGTGGGTCATTAATAGGTGGGTAAGTGGGTCATTGGTCAGTGGGTAAGTAGGTCATTGGTCAGTGGGTCATTGGTCAGTTGGTAAGTAGGTCATTAGTCAGTGGGTTAGTGGGTCATTAATCGGTGGGTAAGTGGGTCATTAATCGGTGGGTAAGTGGGTCATTAGTCAGTGGGTAAGTGGGTCATTAATCGGTGGGTAAGTGGGTCATTAATCGTTGGGTAAGTGGGTCATTAGTCAGTGGTCAAGGGGTCATTAGTCAGTGGGTAAGTGGGTCATTAGTCAATGGGTAAGTGGGTCATTGGTCAGTGGGTAAGTGGGTCATTGGTCAGTGGGTAAGTAGGTCATTAGTCAGTGGGTTAGTGGGTCATTAATAGGTGGGTAAGTGGGTCATTAATCGGTGGGTAAGTGGGTCATTAGTCAGTGGGTAAGTGGGTCATTAATCGGTGAGTAAGTGGGTCATTAATCGGTGGGTACGTGGGTCATTAGTCAGTGGTCAAGGGGTCATTAGTAAGTGGGTAAGTGGGTCATTAGTCAATGGGTAAGTGGGTCATTGGTCAGTGGGTAAGTGGGTCGTTAGCTAGGGGGTAAGTGGGTCATTAGTTAGTGGGTAGGCGGGTCATTAGTCAGTGGGTAAGTGGGACATTAGTTGGTGGGTAAGTGGGTCATTGGTCAGTGGGTAAGTGGGTCATTAGTCAGTGGGTAAGTCTGTCATTAATAGGTGGGTAAGTGGGTCATTAATCGGTGGGTAAGTGGGTCATTAATCGGTGGGTAAGTGGGTCATTAGTCAATGGTCAAGGGGTCATTAGTCAGTGGGTAAGTGGGGCATTAGTCAGTGGGTAAGTGGGTCATTGGTCAGTGGGTAAGTGGGTCATTAATCGGTGGGTCATTAATGGGTGGGTAAGTGGGTTATTAGTCAGTGGTCGAGGGGTCATTAGTCAGTGGGTAAGTGGGTCATTAGTCTGTAGTCTGTGTTAAAGGCACACCTACAAGCAATTTGTGAAGACTGACCTATCCCCCCCCCCCTACAGGTGAAGTTCATCAGACACCCCAGCGACTGCTCCAAGTTCTACCAGTGCGCCCACTACAAGCCCTTCCTCATCTCCTGCCCCCCGGGCCTCAAGTTCAACAAGGACTACGACATCTGCGACTGGCCGTCCAACGTCGACTGCAGCTCCAGTTATGAGGGTCTGGTGAGTTCCAGCAACAGATTGATGTACTCACGCACACGTCTTACATGAGTGTTTGTTTGATTGTGTCCTTGTTTGATTGTGTCCTTGTTTGATTGTGTCCTTGTTTGATTGTGTGCTTGTTTGATTGTGTCTATGTTTATGTGTGTAGGCTATAGGCTGTCATTGACTGGACAAACTTACAATCTAATATTTGAAACAAATCAGAATTATTCTAATTATCGTTTCTTTAAGACGCATTTTCCTAGAAAAGTCTGCTGTAATAAAAAATCCACTTTGATTTCATTACTGACCTACTTGAATAGTTGTAATTTGTTTTCATCTAACAAAGCTGGATAAAATATAATGTTAAATTGTCTTTAATTATTTAGAAATCTCGTATATTTTACCTGAAACGTGTACACCTGTTGTTTACTCTTCTAGTCCCGGCGGTCAACTGGCACTTCCGGTGACCCCGGCTTCCAGGACAGCTGGTCCCAGAGTAGCCCTCAGTCCTCGTACAGCCAGGGAACTGGTTCCTCGTACGACGGCTCCAGCTCCATGTCCAATGGGGGAACCGGTTCCTCGTCATCCTACGACAGCTCCAACAGCCAACCGACCTACAGCCAGCCACAGCAGCCGACCTACAGCGACCAGACCCAGTACAACAGCAACTCTGGCACCTCCCAGTACAGCAGCGGCTCGACATCAGGCGACTCCAGCAGCAACCAGCCTAGCTACAGCGGCAACTCTGGCACCTCACAGTACAGCCAACAGCCCTCGTACAGCGGACAGTACAGCAACCAACAGCCGGTCTACACCCAGGGCAACATGCAGCGGTCTGGAAGCTTCCAGCAAGTGGGATACAACCAACAGCCCATGTACGGGCAGCAGTCCTCCATGGCTTCCATCTTCCCAATGAGCCCCTTCCAATTTCCCATGATGCCCATCATCCATCCACCCATCTTCCAACCAATCATTCCCTACCCTCCCCGTGGCTACGCCACGACTAACTACCAAGCCTCCAAGCCCACCTACCAATCAAGTCCTGACGTCGCCGACTACGACGCCGACAACACAGTGCTACACAAGCCCAACGTCGACAGCAACAGAGACAACAACGTCGACAGCAACGTCGACAGCAACAGAGGCTTCGACTACGACACCAACAAAGACAACCAGCAGTCCTTCTACCAACAAAGCGGCTTTAACAGCGGCGACTTCCAGGCCTCAGACGATCAGTCGTCTGCTTCCAATGGTCAGCACTTTGTTGGTCAGCAGCCGACCAAACTCTTTGTACCGATGAAAAGATACCTCAGACGTCAGAAGAAGTGAGTCTCTTCGTTTCTCTCTCGCGCTTTCTCTCTATCTCTTTCTCGGTCTCTGTCTCTACATGTGTGTCTGTTGGTCTATGTCTTTACATATGTGTCTGTTGGTCTATGTATTCATCTGTGTCTTAGACTCATGCTTGTAAAGAAAAGATAAAACTGATAGTTTAATTAAACGACAACTAAGTGGTCTAAAGAAAAAATGCTAAAAGAATAGATCTAATGAAAATTTGTGAAGTTACCATCCAGAAAATGTAGTTTATGTACAAAGTTGTCTATCAATTACGGCTAAGTAAAACGTGTTAGTGGTAGCGTAGTCTGTAGGTTGTAGTAAACTAAACACGTTGATGTGTTGATGTCTGAGGGTGGGGGGGGGATGTGTGACAGATGGTAGAAAGTGATTTGTAAACAAAGTATCTTGAGATCCCAGGTTGGATAGGGCGACAAATATGTGTGATCACCCATCAAAATTGACACAAGCAAGGCTACTGGTCAGTGTGTGAATGTCGACTTAACTGACCCATTAAACCCCACCCCACTAGTAACACACAGTGTGTAGACTGTTGGAGAAATAAATAGATCAGAACTAGGTTAACAAAAAACTCATCAGAGGCGTGTGTAGTATCATGGCCGGAAAATAAACGGACAGATTTTACTGAATACTTTGTTTATAAGGATTGTAGACAACTATGCCATCTAAAATAGATCTAGATGGCAACACAAAATATAAGAGATCAATTTGTACATTTATTATCTAAACAACTCACATTTAATGTATTGATGTCTCTCTTCACACACCCACTTCCACACTGTCTCCAGATTCTAGAACCACATTTTAGAGCACAGGTTTTAAAGCTCATTAATTAACACCTCCACAATGTGGTTATTTTTTATGTTTGAGAACTCAACGCGCGTGACGTAGTTTTCATTGACCAATCACACAGCATCAACAACAACAACGTCAACAAAGATGGCGGCGACAACGGCATCTACCACTACGACTACGATTTCTTCAGCAACTTTGGCAACAACAAACAGTCGACGGGTAGAACCAAGGGGGACGACGGCGACAGAGCCATCTACTACTACGACTACAGCACGAACAAGGGCGGCAATAAAGCGGGCAACAGGCAGAACGATTACTACAATTTCTACGATTACAATGCTGGTAACAACTACAACTACTACGATGACTTGAACTACGATGACGGCAATAGAGCACAAAGTAACAAAGGATTTGGAGGGTACATCAACAAGTAAGATTTTTTTACCAGTTTGTATAACTTAAGTTATAAACCACAGCATGAAGTATAAATTTTCCATTCTGTTTTTATTGAAGGTCAAATTTTTGTTTACACAATATGATGACGTCGGCATTGATTGAGACACACCTTTTATTAATTAACGACATTATTTTTTTATCGTTAATTAAAATAAACCGGGAGTGATCTCCCCTAAACTTTCTCGAATATTCTTATATAAAATAACAGGGGATGGAAACTCGGGCTATAGACATGATTTTTAATCCATTTTAAATACTTAAAGTTTTAAAAATAGAATAAAATCTCGTAGACAAATTAATTGCACACCAAGTGAACGCAAATAAAAAAAAGCGCATAATAGTGCGCAATATTATTAGTACTTTTAAAATTTACATTAGTTTTTTGAGAAATCGGAAGTAGCGTAAAGTACTACTTCCAGTCAACGGAAATTACTCAGAATTTAACAGAAGGTAGAGAATTAGATCTTTTACTTACATGTGAAATTTCATTTATCTATCTGAAATAGTACTCAAGTTATAGGCTTTTAAAAAATTCAAAGTAGGAAAAGTACCACTTCCGGTTATCGGAAATCGCTCAAAAGTTGATACGGATCTACGATTTTGATAAAATACTTATATATGAAATTTCATCAACCTAGCTGTAACGGTACTCAAGTTATCGTGTTTACACACGGACAGACACACACACAGACACACACACACACAGACATACGGACAAGATTGCAAAATTATGTTTTTCCGTATCAGTGAGGTGTAAAACGTCGAGATTTGTAAAAATCTCGATTTTTTTTTTTTGCACGATTACAATACTTTCTCTATACTACGTATATACGAGAAAGTAAAAAGGTGTGTCTCAAGCAATGCCGACGTCATCACATGGCGTTAAACAAAGAGTACTGTAAACATTACAAAATGTTATACATCGTTTAAAGAAACATATCTACTGTAAGCATGATAAAATGTCACACATCTTGTACAGAAACATTGTGTACTGTAAACATGATAAAATGTCATACTGTAAACATGATAAATGTCACACAATTTGTACAGAAACAAACTCAAGAGCGGGGCCCTGACAAATCCTCAGTACTTCGGTAACGCCTTCAAGGGATTCTCCAACAACAAACACCTGAAGAGATCTCTGCAGGTAAGTCACACTGTTCCCCTGTCATCTGCCGCAGGTAAGTCTCACCTGTCGTGTTCCTCCAACACCTGCCGCAGGTAAGTCTCACCTGTCTAGTTCCTCCAACACCTGCCGCAGGTAAGTCTCACCTGTCGAGTTCCTCCAACACCTGCCGCAGGTAACGTTGTAGCATGCCCATCTGCCTGTAAGAATGTCAGCATTGTAATCCATCTGATGCTGGCTGAACGTTTAGAATACAAAGTTAAACATAAACTTAAACCATTGACCTAAACCTAAGCAAAAGCCTAGACCTAAACTTTAACCTGGACCTAGACCTAAGCTAAAGCCTAAACCTAAACTTAAACCTGAACCTAGACCCAAACTTTAACCTAGACCTAGACCTAAGCTAAAGCCTAGATCTAAATTTAAACCTGGACCTAAACCTAAACTTAAACCTGGACCTGGACCTGGACCCAAATATTATACTCTACATGACACTGCTGTACACATGTCTGTAAACTACAACAGTAGCTCCACGTCCTGACATATATATGAAGGAAACATTAATTTACAAATAAGTAAATAAAGTTCCCTTTTCAAACCTGACGATCTATAGAGCAAATGAAGTAGAGTTCACTTGTTTATGTGACCTCGACATATGAAGAGATAGTGTGGTCAATACACTATGCCCAGCCTCCTTTACTTTCCCTAACGTGAGTTAGGTACCCATTAGAGCTGGGTGGACTCAGTGACGGTCTAAAATAATGTATGTAAAAAAACTAATATTAAATAATAGTTCTATAATATTTTAATGTAATAGATTTGTTTTATGTAACGCTATGCAATGTAATACTTTCAAACGTAAAATGTTATAATGTATCACTTCAAACATTTTACCCTCCAGCAACTAAATGATGCAGGGGACGTAGAGTACGTCCACTTCGACCACACTGGACATGGTTATGGGACCGGCACCAAGGGGTCAAGTCAGGGGGGTCTGGGGGGTCTGGGGGGTCTGGGAGACATCAGCTCCCTGCTGCCCCTCCTGCTGTTGGGCGGCTCCCAGAACGGACAGCAGCTGTTTACGTTGTCACTACTGCTGCCTAAACTCAAGGGGCTGACAGGCGGTAAGTGCTGACACATCATGCATGACATGACACATACTGACATGACACATACTGACATGACACATACTGACATGACACATACTGACATGACACATACTGACATGACACATACTGACATGATACATCCTGACATGACACAACCTGACATGACATGACACAACCTGACATGACACAACCTGACACAACATGACATGACACATCCTGACATGACACATACTGACATGACACATCCTGACACATCGTGACATGACACATCGTGACATGACACATCGTGACATGACACATCCTGACATGACACATCATGACATGACACATCATGACATGACACATCATGACATGACACCACATGACATGACACATTCTGACATGACACAACCTGACATGACACAACCTGGCACATCATGACATGACACATCATGACATGACACACTCTGACATGACACATCATGACACGACACTTCCTGACATGACACAACCAAACCTGACATAACGAGACCTGACACACAACGACCTTGAATTGAAGGGCTCAGTGGAAAAAGTACTTAAGTTACATTTTTTCAAAAATCAGTTAAGACCAGTATATTATGTGAATACCTGCCCTTAACCATCCCTGTAAATTTGGGCTATGTAAAAAGTACCGAAGTAGCTTAATTCGTATACTATACATCAGCTGTTTTAGTATTTCAGCTTCAATTTAAAAATTTTGCACTCATTTTTTTCTCAAAACTCTCAAAATACACTTAAGTACTTTTTCCACTGAGCCCTTCAATTATACTCGCATAAAACGTTTATATTTTTTAAATAAAAAAACAAATATTTTATATCAGTAATCCCATGATGTCTGTAATTTAAAATTAATTTTGTTCTACGTTACAGGACTCGGTCTCGGTGGAAAAGGTGAGTCACTGTAACACTTTATCAGATACAACCTTTACTACTTTATTCCACTGTAACACTTTATCAGATACAACCTTTTCTACATTATTCCACTGTAACACTTTATCAGATACAACCTTTACTACATTATTCCACTGTAACACTTTATCAGATACAACCTTTACTACTTTATTCCACTGTAACACTTTATCAGATACAACCTTTACTACTTTATTCCACTGTAACACTTTATCAGATACAACCTTTACTACTTTATTCCACCGTAACACTTTATCAGATACAACCTTTACTACTTTATTCCACTGTATCACTTTATCAGATACATTCTTTACTACTTTATTCAAGCATTCTTTGTTTTTATTGGTTAGAAACATTTTGTAATGGCGATTGCTTGCATTTTTTTTTTAATTGAACGATGAATCAGATCAATAAGGCAAAATATAAATATCACCTAAAATAATATTAGAACATGATGAAATAAATAAGTACTCACCAGATGGCAACATTTTAATATCATTTTTTTAATTTTATTTTAGGAGGCGGCTTGTTCAGCTCTAAAGGTAAGTACATAAAAAATATTTAATTTGAAATTTGTTTTTATAGACGATAGTAGCGCTTACAAATCTAATATAACGGGCCTACCAATCCATCTTGTGATATAATACAGAATATGATGTTACCTAGCAACTGTATCTTGTGACGTCACCAGGTTCCAGTTCTAAGGGCGGCAGTGACGGCGGTCTCCTACAGACTCTACTTCTGCTGAGGTTGTTGTCTGGCACCGGTCAGACAACAACGGTCACCCAGCCGGCCAACCTACGGTTCCAGAACGGTCAGTTCACAGCCTTGTCCACCGGTGCCGCGGTCACCAGCTTCATCGACCCGACCACCAACCTACCGGTACTTGTCGCTAATCTGGCCGTAGACCCCATCTCAGGTGAGTCTTTGAGAAAATCTGGTCAGAACATTCCAGAAATAGCTATCTGTGGAGTCGGTGAAGGACCTGCTTCTTTAGATTTCTTTAAGCGTTTTCCGCTAACTATAAACATAATTGATCCAGCTTTTGGTCAGTTTTGACACAAACACCAACCAACTAAATCAATTTAGGACAACCCTAGCAGACCCTGAACCCCCAACATCAATTAATTTGTCACCGATTAATATTAAGCATAAGTCAAACTGATGTAGTGTAGAATGAATAGAATAAGTGTAGGATAGTTCTTCACCTATTCAACCAGTGTAATACACACGTTATAAATCCGACCCACCTGTATAATACACACCTGATGAGACACCTGTGTAAAACACGATATGTACCCGACCCACCTGTATAATACACACCTGATGAGACACCTGTGTAAAACACGATATGTACCCGACCCACCTGTATAATACACACCTGATGAGACACCTGTGTAAAACACGATATGTACCCGACCCACCTGTATAATACACCCTGATGAGACACCTGTGTAAAACACGATATGTACCCGACCCACCTGTATAATACACACCTGATGAGACACCTGTGTAAAACACGATATGTACCCGACCCACCTGTATAATACACCCTGATGAGACACCTGTGTAAAACACGATATGTACCCGACCCACCCGTATAATACACACCTGATGAGACACCTGTGTAAAACACGATATGTACCCGACCCACCTGTATAATACACCCTGATGAGACACCTGTGTAAAACACGATATGTACCCGACCCACCTGTATAATACACACCTGATGAGACACCTGTGTAAAACACACGATATGTACCCCCACCCAGCTGTAATAAAACTCCCACCTTATTGACCATACCCACCCGTATAACACACCTGATTTCCCCCACCCCCAGGTGCCGTGTACGACACCACCACCAACCGAGTCGTCATCTTCACAGACCCTGGCAGCAACACGCAGGTGCAGGCATTTGTGGCACCAACAACTGCGACAGGTACGTCTCACCTATTTACTGTAAACTCCTATGGAAGTTAGCATTTAATTTTTAATTTCAAGTTGCCGCCCATTAACACTCTTTCAAGTACAAATAATTAGTCAAGGGACACAATCCATTTAAATGCGTGTTGTTATCTCTGATAAAAAAACAGGGAGGTAAAAACGTTTTTGTTTTCATTTTGCTTGATTTTTACGGTAGCCTCACTTGTAAATTTTTAAAAATTTAAATATTTTAGTTTTTAAATCTTTTTTTTAGATTATTCTTTAGCAGTAAGAAAGCTCTGCATTCAATGTCTTACACTTTAGGCTTTTCTGCAGACATTTTGTAAGGCACAAAATATCGTCTTAAATTTTACCTTATTGTTAAAAATATAATTTGGTGGTAATTAATGAGCACTAAAGCAGAGGAACAATTAAAAAAAAAAAAAAAAAAAAAAAAAAAAAAAAAAAAAAAAAAAAAAAAAACTAAAGCAGAACAATACAATTTAAGATAGTGGCTAGAGTAAAACAAAATGTAAAATAAAAAAAAAATGTAACAAAAATAATGAAAAAAAAATCAATGTCATAAATCTTGTAACAAACCCTGATGCCTGTCAGTTTATTTTTTTGTCTTGCAGTGACTGGCCGGAGCCTGTTGAGAAGTCCACTGGCAGTTCCACCTGTCAACAACAGGGTCCTGTCAGTGATACCACCTGCGACCGTCGAGCCCACACCTGGTCAGTTCACACTTTTGTCTTCAGTCTAATTGTCAGTCTTTATTTTAAATCCTGATGGGTACCTGACTAGCAGTAAGGAAAGTAAAGGCGGCTGGGTATAGTGCTGACCACACTATTACTTTACATGCCGAGGTCAACTCTACTTCATCTGACCTAAGGATCGTAAGGTCTGAAAGGGAAACTACTTTTACTTTGGTTTTTATTTTTATTTTTACTCACACTTTTTACATTTGATGTTTTTGAAATGTTTCAAAAAGTTTGAATGTGTCCATCAGGGCCGGCAACTGGACGTGACGCCATCAATCTGATCTTCTTGTCTCCCCTGACTCCCTCCTCCGTCCTGCCCACAATTCCCGGCACCGACGGAAGTGTCAACACCATTCGGGGCTCGCTCAGGGATATTTTAGGCGACGATCTGACGCGTCTCCTTAGCAACGCCCAGCTTGTACCTGGCCAATCAGCACCCAACGCGCTGGCCAGCGGTCAGAAAAGTAGGTCGCAGGGTCACGTGTAACCAGCTATTCTTAGATTTACTGAGGGGGGGGGGAAATCAACCTTATGGTTTTCCAGTTACAGAAAATTTCATGTTTATAACATAAAAACTATGTAGCTGACAGCTCAATAGAAGCAGACGATGGTACAAATAGTTTCTTTAACTGCTACATGTGTCGTTGGCGGATAAAGTAATATTTGCAACATGAGTACCGTGAAAAAATGATGTGATTACGGTATATTATTAAATGACTATCGTAAATCACTACAGGTCAACTTGTTTAATATGATCCTGACCTTCCGCAGCCTGTACGGTGATACGCAGCGGGGAGACCGTGCCGTTCCGCGTGAACCCGAGAGGGGGGCGTCGCCTGACGACGGAGGAGTGTGACGCCATGGGCAAGCTGCTGGACAAGTTCATCCCCACCTTCCTGCAGAACTTCGTCCCCAGCGACGCCGCCTTCGAGGGTTTCGGCAGCAACCGCAACACCCACGCCGGCGCCAACATCAACGACATCTTCGGCACGCCACTCAACACCAACGGCAACGCCGGACCCAGCGCCACCAACATCAACCAGTTCATCAACATCAGGAACGATCGAGACGGCTGCACCATCGCGGTCCCCAACATCGTTCCCCAGTGTTAGCACCCCCACCCCCAATTTTAGCACCCCCACCCCAGTGTTAGCACCCCCACCTTCAATGTTAGCGCGATGCACCCCCCCCCCTTCCCCCCCCCCCCCCCCCGACTCTTGTGTTAGCATTGTCTCCTAATCATTCCTATCCCACTAACAGTCCCATAGTTCAAACTGCATGTTCAGTCCACCAACGACTTATACAAAACAAACTAAGAAGTTTCTATTTTTTGAGAAATAATTTTGTTAGAAACTTGTTTCTACTCCACTAAATTTTAACAATTTTATACTTCTAAAAATGGTATTGCAACTTCTAATTTTATAAAATCTAATTATTTCTTTTAGAAATAAGTAGTTACTTATCAATAATGTAAATGTACCGATACATTTTCTTTTTAGGAATTTTTATTATAGAAACACTGAAAATGTGTTCTAAATTATTATTACGTGTTTATAAATATTTTTCCTATTTTTACACGGGAATTTAAAACTAACAGTAAATGAAAGTCAAAGAATCGAGTATTTCCCGTAAATGTTGATTGTTGAGGATCATTGCTGCAGTTTACATTAGAAGCGAAGTAAAGCACAAATTGTGCTATTTTCGAACCTGCCTCTTTGCGCATCGCTCTGCGCATGGCTAATCCGTGAAGTAATCATAATTTTGGACATATTTTTGGGCCGTTGTTCGAATTTTGTACCGTATCGTTGTGTGTGTTGATGTATCTTTTATTGAAACCATGTTATCCTGTTATCATGTATTATTATTTACTACACACTTAAAGATGTGCTAAGACTGAATGGTGTATGTGTTGGCAAAGCGGTCAAGAATGTTTGAGTATATCATACAAATATACATAGGATTAAGCCTATCACTAATTAACCTAATTTTTGTCTAATTGGCTAATAATTTTCTTGTGTAAGAACAAACTTTTGTTTGTCGCGTGTCACAGACGTGTAACATTCAAGGTGACAGGCACGTCACAGTATGTTTAAACAATCAAAAATTTGTATTAGACCCCCACCCACTGCCCCCCCCCCCGCCCCCCCCCCCCCCCCACCCTCCCATTGAATACCCCTACACTGTACGAATGGTGGTCTTACCGTGAGTGTTCTGTTCGTTGAAAGTTTGGACGAAACGAATGTTGAATGGTCAACTTTTTATGGTATTACTCAATGACTTTAGTTGATTCAGTAAAAAAAACTATTTATTCAGTCTACTGGTTTTTTGTTTCGCTTATTAAATTGGTTGGTTGACTTTTGTATCATTTATAAACGTTATAAACCACTTGTTTGTTTTATGGCTGTTTTTTTTAAATATATGTTACAAACGATCATCTCTTTGGATTGATTAATTGGAAAACACAAGCATACCATCATACCGACACACGGACATACAGACCAACAAACGAATACACGTAAACACTGATAAACGCTGTCAAGCCAACTCGACACGGAGTTAAGGACAAATCAAAGACGTAAAAAAATTAGCTTCCAGAAAATGAACTGTTTCAAATATGTTCGATTGCTCAAGTTCTCGAATGTCGCAATGTTGCGCAATCGTCACTTGACTCCACTTTCTGGCGACCTTTTCAAAAACAAACCTCAAAGACACGAGACACCAGCCCTCCGGGTCTGCTGGCACTTGTCACGTCACGTCACTCGCCTCATCACACCCCCCCCTCAGTTCACACCTCAGCAGGCCCTAAGATCTGACCCCACCATCCCACCCCACCATCCCACCCCACCATCCCACCCCACCGTGTAAGCCACTGATCAATGTCAATTTGTTTAGAACAAAGAGGCTGTTGTTACCCAACACAGTCTACACAACATCGCTACAATAACGTGCAACTTAAGTCACATGACTGCCCGCACCCCAACATGACTTGTACAGGCATTATTGTTGGAAAACATCCGATCCAATGCGGTGCAAATCGTTAAACAGCTCAAAATAGTTCAATGTATGTTTCAATCAGTTCGAATTTCAAACTGTTCAAATCTACAAAGTAAAACAATTCGACACTGCAGTAAAGGTCTGTTTTAACCACGGACATAGATTAACAGCAACAGCGAGGCTGATATATTCACATAACATTTTCTAACTCAGTATGTGATTAATTTAAAACATCAACATATCATCATTACAAAAAGAAAACAACTAAACTCTTACATTCGACAGTGGATATGGCAGATGAAGTAGAGTTCCCTCGGAATGTTTTACTGAAGGCAAGAGACTCGAATATCCTCCTCTCCTAACTACCCCCCCCCCTCCACACACACACACCCCCAATCGTACGAGAATTCAATAAAATATCTAATCGTTTAACTTTTTATTTTATTGTGATTTAGTACCGCATAACTGAGGAAATATTTCGCCATTGATGACTGCTGTAATGCCGCTAGCCCTGATTAGGTTTTGATGTCATTACTGGTTAATCTCTAGAAGATCGATAGCAAGCTATTGGTTTTGATCGGTATCGATCTGAGGCTGGTCGTTATGTGAGGTATCCTGTTAGGTGCTAGAGGGCGCCATGTAGGACTTTTAGGTCACCGTCTGGGACATATTAGGTCACACTCTGGGACATACTAGAGAACCGTGTGTAGATCGACATGTTAGGGAGCCATGTTGTACATTAAAGGGAGCCATGTTGTACACTAAAGGGCGCCATGTTGTACATTAAAGGGCGCCATGTTGTACATTAAAGGGCGCCATGTTGTACACTAAAGGGCGCCATGTTGTACATTAAAGGGCGCCATGTTGTACATTAAAGGGCGCCATGTTGTACATTAAAGGGCGCCATGTTGTACATTAAAGGGCGCCATGTTGTACATTAAAGGGAGCCATGTTGTACATTAAAGGGCGCCATGTTGTACATTAAAGGGAGCCATGTTGTACATTAAAGGGCGCCATGTTGTACATTAAAGGGCGCCATGTTGTACATTAAAGGGCGCCATGTTGTACATTAAAGGGCGCCATGTTGTACATTAAAGGGCGCCATGTTGTATATTAAAGGGCGCCATGTTGTATATTAAAGGGCGCCATGTTATACATTAAAGGGCGCCATGTTGTATATTAAAGGGCGCCATGTTATACATTAAAGGGAGCCAGGTTGTACACTAAAGGGCGCCATGTTGTATATTAAAGGGAGCCATGTTGTACATTAAAGGGAGCCATGTTGTACATTAAAGGGAGCCATGTTGTACATTAAAGGGAGCCATGTTGTACATTAAAGGGAGCCATGTTGTACATTAAAGGGCGCCATGTTGTATATTAAAGGGCGCCATGTTGTATATTAAAGGGCGCCATGTTATACATTAAAGGGCGCCATGTTATATATTAAAGGGCGCCATGTTATACATTAAAGGGAGCCATGTTGTACACTAAAGGGCGCCATGTTGTATATTAAAGGGAGCCATGTTGTACATTAAAGGGAGCCATGTTGTACATTAAAGGGAGCCATGTTGTACATTAAAGGGAGCCATGTTGTACATTAAAGGGAGCCATGTTGTACATTAAAGGGCGCCATGTTGTATATTAAAGGGCGCCATGTTATACATTAAAGGGCGCCATGTTGTATATTAAAGGGCGCCATGTTATACATTAAAGGGAGCCATGTTGTACACTAAAGGGCGCCATGTTGTATATTAAAGGGAGCCATGTTGTACATTAAAGGGCGCCATGTTGTATATTAAAGGGCGCCATGTTGTACATTAAAGGGCGCCATGTTGTACATTAAAGGGAGCCATGTTGTACATTAAAGGGCGCCATGTTGTATATTAAAGGGAGCCATGTTGTATATTAAAGGGCGCCATGTTGTACATTAAAGGGCGCCATGTTGTACATTAAAGGGAGCCATGTTGTACATTAAAGGGCGCCATGTTGTACATTAAAGGGCGCCATGTAGTATATTAAAGGGCGCCATGTTGTACATTAAAGGGCGCCATGGTGTAATGACGTCATTTCCAGCCAGCAGTTGCTGATAGAAGGAAGATTGTGACGTCATTTCCATCCAGCAGTTGCTGATAGAAGGATAATTGTGACGTCATTTCCTGTCAGAAGTTGCTGTCTCTGTCTGAGACAACTGAAATCGGATGCCACTAATTCCGAGTGTCTGCTCAGCCCGTCTGCTGTCCCAACGACTTAACCCTTTGTGGCTTGAGAGATGAACACTAATTCTCTTGCTGCAAGAAATCATTGGCGACGCTTATTGAGTTAAAAGGTTGTAAGTGGACAGAACAACTGGGGTTAATTCATCACATGTTCACGGGCGTCTGCTGGGGTGTACGAGATGGGGGGGGGGGGGGGGGGGGAGGGGGGAGTTCAGCTCTAAACCAGACTAAGACATGAAAGGGGGGGGGGGGAGTTAAGCTCTAAACCAGACTAAGACATAAAAACGGGGGGGGGTATATGAGAAGCTAGCAGGAATAGTCGGCTCAGTAATATTGTTGCCGCCTCTGTCTTTTAAGATACACTGACACAGGTATCTTAAAGCAACACAACTTGACCTTTACAATATGTATATAACATTGTCATTCGATGACCCCATGACCTCATCAACCTGTATATAACCTTGTCATTCGATGACCTATACCTGCCTACCTGTCATGTTACCCTGGGTTAGGTTACACCTTAAGGTTATCTCACACATCCGTGTTCACCTGAGATTGGGCCACAATACACCTGTCTGTCTGCCATTAATATTAACTAGAGTACCCGTTATCTAGTTAGATAACTGTGGGTTTTGGGGGGGGGGGGGTCATCCATAAATGACATCTTTTTCATCCCAAAATAACCAGACCCCACATTCAAAAAGACGTTTTTTATATTTTAAAAACTCTACTAAACTCTACTTCACCTGTCCAGTGCCCCGCCAAGTCTCAGACATGTTTGTATTTAAAAAAAAGAAGATTCCGGCCGAACATGGCTCTGACCACACTATCCCTTCATATGCTGAGAACATAGAAACAGGTGAACTCTACTTCACCTGCCCTGTGCCCCGCGAGGTCCTTATAGTCAACCTTATCATTAACATAGAAAAAATAACTGAAAA